TTACAAGGAAAGGATAGCTAGTAAAAGGAAATTTCTCCTTTTACTATCTGTTCTTGTAACGGTCAAATTTTTTGTTCTTAAAACGGATTAGTGATAGCGATGCTAAAGTTGATTATTTCAAATGGAAAAATGCGATAACATACTGTAATGTTTCATGCCAAATCGCCTTGTATCGAACCTGGCCAGATACAGCCAGCTTTTCTTAATATACCCGGCCAATCGCGGGCGGTCGGGGAGCGTGATGAAGGTTGCCAGAACCTGGATAAGTGTCAGGCACGGCAACCACTGTGCCCCCGCCGCGATCAGGTTGTCCCCTGCGGGACGTGGTACCTCGGCTCCCGTTGCTGTTCCTCCGCGCGCTTTCTTTCCACTCATCATTCTTTCTATTTTTTCTTCTAAAAGTGTCTCTATGAAAAATCCATATTTTTTACGACCAGTTCAATGATATAACTGCATGAAAATGTTCAAGACTTTGCAAGAGTTCAAGGTCTTATAAGCTCTATTCACTGGATGGAATACACACTCAAATTAAGACGGTAATCGAATTGACAGATCAGTGAATATAAGAACACATCAAGTCATCATGAGCACACAAGCATAAGCATACGAAGTTACTTTCATTGCGACCATTAAAGTGATTGATTCAGCCGTTTCACGCATAAATTTTGGAAAGATTTACAGGTTACAGCGAAATCCGAACACATTTAGTATGCATTCGGATTACAGACGGAAGAATNTTGCACTAATCGCAACGAAATTGAAACACAATCGAAGATACGGTTCAATTGACCAATCGCTCATAAGTCCAAAGTATCTTATTCATGGCATCAAAATTATCAAGCGTAGTTTTGAAGAAGCCAAAATATTGTCTCTAAATCGAGATCAATAGCTCAGGGCAACGCAATCGTACACTGATGTGCAAATTTTGAATAGTAGATAAATATTATCTTATTGATTTCCAAAAGCGCAGCAATTCAATCATAATGAAATCGATCGTAATTGATTGAATCTTCAATTCCGTTGTTCATCTCAAAATAATAAGGCATTTTTTCGATGTGGCTTCAAGAGGTTGGTTGGAACTCTGAATTTTTGGCATTTGCGAAATGCGAAATTTGGCCAAAGGCATGAATTCATTCAGC